AAATATTACATGAAAAGTAATCAACAAGGAGTTACTTTCACAAATGTTTTCTCTTAATATAGTTTGATTTCAAATCACTTTRTGATTTATCAGTATAGATGAACTGCATGCCTTTRGTAGCACTATTCTTTAATGTACATCTAAACCAGACCCTCCTTAGAGCGTCAACTCGGTCGAACTATTTTTGAAAATTGAGAAAGACAGTATATTACATGGTTGGTCAAACACAGGAAAAGTTTTAAATGAGCTCATTTTGAAAAAGTACTGAATAAGACAGCACTTTTCAACACCTTTAGGGCACGAGTACACCCTGCTGTCAGGGTCTAGTTTAAATCTGATAYAGAACTGATTAATAAGCTTAAAAYATCAGTGCTTTATTGGGATTTACAGACCCACCATGTGACAAAATAGTTTGATGCTCATCAGACGTATAGCTCATGAATTATTGATGACTTCTAGAAATCTTGCTATAATAAGTATAGTACTATAATGGTGTTTTCTGTTTCAGCTCCAAGTCTGCACATTATTTGCACTGGAGTAGGGTTATATTTAGGATATTTGGGGCATCGATTTGAAGAAACATCTGAAGATAGATATAAAGAAATGATAAAGAAACATAAAAATGCACCATGGTATCCCAAAGGTCAATTATTGGCAGARCGATATGCAAGAGAGAAGCAGCTCATACCTGGTATGTATAATATATAGAGAGGATTGGCAGAAAAATAGATTTTACGGATATCTCATTAGTTTATATTTAAAAACTCAAATTTAAATMATTCAGTAAGACAAGAAATAAAACATGGTAAAGTGAACACCCACAATYAAGATCCTTATTTTTTCAAAATCTGACAAAAAAGTTCTTAGGTGTCATAATTTAGACTAAAACGAGAACCACTACGTCAAACTTACCGTGCCCAATAAAAAGGACATGGGGTAAATACAGTCATCACCATAGCAGTTATCGATATGCACTATATGATAAGTTTTTTGGTCTTTCAAGATTTTTTTTGTCTTAAGTTTACAATACTGTTGGGCGCATAGTATGTGAATAGTTGAAGGTCCTTAAATTATCTTTGACTTTTGCCATATATGTATTGTTTGTTTAACGTCGAGTTAATATTTAATTTCGTTCAATTCTGATACCTATAATGCTTGTCATTTTGCTAAGATTWAAGTTGTTTTTAACGTACTATGCTTGTCCTGAGACATTTGAGAATAGTTGAGGTGATCTTTGTGACGTTTTGTTTGGGTAGCAAAGTTCCAAGAATAACAAGGTTACAGTGTGAAATCGATGTCAAATAATTCCATTTGAATKCCTATTCTGAAAGAATCATTAATCTCAAGCGTTAGATACTACAAAAAGGAGTTAACTGGCGAGGTTTGAAGGACTTAGTTGATATAGTGAGCGAGTAAACTCATTTTTTAGTTGTCCAGAAATTCCTTTACATAATTTMCAGGGTCATCGGCGCATGACTCGCATGAAAAATATTCGAAAAGCATTCACTCTGATTGTTGATAGAAGATTCACTCAAAAGTAATTGCTCTTGATCCTTGACAGAAGGTTCATCAAAATTATTCGCTCTTGATTCTCGATCTAGAAGATTCACTTTAATAAGTTTCCAGTTAAGCCATAGTTAATAGGTCGAACTCAAAATATCCACTCGTATAAAGATGTTGCTCAGAATACCTCTTGTAAAGTTTGGGGGATTTTTCAAGCCCCAAACAGCAAAAATATATTCAGTAGTCTCATCTCCTTGAATGACTGCCATCATACCATGTGGTTTTATCGATGCTGAGCAAAGTTATTTTAACCGCTGTAAAGTAGTGGGGAAATCACCGAGCTCTTGGTTAAATGGGGAAAAAAGTTGTGCATGCATTTTCTTATGGGGAGATTTTTCATGCCTCAAATAGCAAAAATTTTCAGTAGTCTCATCTCCTTGAATGACCACCCTCATTTACCTTGTAGTTTTATCAGTGTGAGCAAAATTTTCCAATTCAATGTAAGTCATGGTGAAATCGGCGAGCGCTTGTTAAAAATCTAGCGTGAAAAAAATTGCGCTTGCATTTTATAACCGTGCTGGCCGAGGCCTGGGCATGGTAAAAATTGATTTGTTGTTGTGTTAGATTTTGTTTATTAGTATCCAAAAAAATATGGGCTATCAATTATGGTTGCATTGCCAAACTATTCAGAAAAAAATTGTTATTTATGATCTGCTGTACATGGTTTGGTGGATACTTATACCTTATAACTTATTTACTATCAAATTTAATTTATAATTCAACAACAATCTCATTGGTAGAGAATCAAAGGAGTGGTGATGGGGTTACTATCAGTGCATAGAGCTCGCCGCTTCAGAAAATCTTGTTTTGGAATGATAAAASAATAGAGCAGTTGAAATCTCTGTGATAGTTGCCCTTCAAACTATTATAGTCGACTTTTTAAATGTTGTTAACTTGTAAAGACATTGCAACTYTATTGTTTATGTAGTCCACTGGACATTGTCCACTGGACATTGTTAAACAAATTAGCATATATTAAAAACATGAGACATGGATTTCTTATAAATTACTTAGGGCTGAGAAATCTTCATCAATTCTATAAGTAATAGGCAATATAATTAGCAGATTTCTTTAATTATGATGCAATGAGAAATTAGAATTTTGATAAAAAATGACTGTTTTGTGTGTGCATGTGTTTGGCAATAATATTTTAGCAGTCAACAATATAAGCTTAAAATTGTGGTGATTTTGTGATAGATAAGGCKTGCTGGATGTTAGGAGAATAGGATAAAAGACCAGTAAAATGTTAGCCTATAGACGAGTACCAATATTTACTGTCACACTTACACCCGAGTACCCCTTCCATTTTTTTATGAGAAATCTCTACTGCTACCAAATAGAGTGCATTCAATATATCTGCGATATGGTTTGAAAACTTATTTATCCAAAATAATAAAAAAATTCTTTCTCTTATTAGTGGCTGAGAAATGCCTTTCATGATGTTGGTGTTTTTGGTTAATACTCTGAAGTTGCAGTTTTGGCTGCAAAAAGAGTTAGAGAATGTAGTAATCATTCTTTGAAAGACAATGTAGCTGGAGAAACATTGCAAAAAGAAACAAGAAAAGCTATTAATTTCATAACAATAGGAAAGGGTCAACTGTCATCAAATAGACAACTTCCAGTTGCTTGTACATTAGAATTTGAATTGAAATGATTCAAACAATGATTCAAACAGCAAGCCTTTGTCTCACTGCGGTCACTGCATTTTAWTAAAAGAAATGGCATATTTAGCACATGAAAAAAGTARACCTCATGTTAAATCAATCTGTCTTGGTGTATTTTCCTTACACTGCTTCGCATCATATGCAGCAGTCATATTTATATTATCTTTGTGGTATTCATGTTTTTCAGATGAAGAAGAAGTAGCTGTTCAATGAATTGCCACAGTAGCATCAACTTCCCTGATTTGATTTGGGTCTAAACAGTTGTGTATATTGTTTAGCCCTTTTTCTACTTTTGTAAATATATACTTGTGGTTGCAGAATAAATAGTCATTAAAGCTGTGTGCTTTGTTTGGAAAGAGAATCCATAAATGAAACTATAATATTGATGCATGCTACATTCATTCCCTTAGTTCAAATGCTTAGCCTGGGTTACCTGTGGAAAAATTATTTCAAAAATGAATATTGGCTGTATTTGCAATTTCAACATATCTCTCACAGTAAGCTACAATAATGAATTATATTATATAAAACACTAACTTCAAAACAATAATCAATTTGAGTAGGGATAGCCTTCTAAGGAACTGCGYAATATTGGGGTTTAGAAATGAGCCAAAAAATCCAAAAAGCTAACTACTACCCCAACTCGCAAATGAAATAAATAACGCTCCATTCTCAGGTGACAGATGTATTGTAAATCCTCAAGGAAAATAAGCAAAATTTTAAAGATTGAGATAACATCTTACTTTTATTTCAAAGCGATCGCAAACCAGTTGCCGGTAAGTTGATTTTATAATTTGGTATTTTTGTGAGCACTAATTACTACCGGGGGAGGGGGGGTCCCAACATACCAAATGATCGCTATGAGGTCATATATCAATCTGGTTTTCGCCCTTTTTTTCGCGCTTTGGAAGGGTCATGTGCACCCTGTGACCCTCCGTGTATACGCCCTTTCCTACTCTGTGACGCAAATCGTTCGAAATCACCCCAACTCTCTCAAAGTCCATGTAAATGTATCAAATCGCCACAAAGCCTGTCTCAAAGTGACGCTGGCCAAAAGTCATTCAAAAGCGCACAAAGATGCTCAAAATCGCACCACGCCTTATATTTCGACTGATTTTGTGCAATATTTTCGAAAATAGCAAAGAGTTACTCAAGAGCTAGGGCGACTTTCGTTCCCGGAGTAGGCCTGCACTATTGGTGGGTTGCATGTGACGTCATACTCAAGCAAAAAATATCGAAAAATCCAAGATATTTTTTCTAAAGAGCTCTTCTTACAGTATATCTTAAATATACGTCTAAATAGTGTGTATGCAAGTTTTCATACGATTTCAACGCTTTGGTGGTGAAACACAAAAGTTTTAGTTTGAGCTCTAGCACCGTACCCTGCAATCAAGTGCACTGCTTGGACTATAGAAGGGCGACAATTTGTGACTGAAAAGTGAAGTGACGACGACGAAAAAAGCTGAATGYTCGGGATTWCTATGCAGCTGGGAATTATGAAAATGAGATAGTAAAAAGCGTTCCAAATGTTCCWTTGTGTCACTCTACTCGAGGCAGGCGCGAAAGAACGTCTTGTTCCCACCCACCTGCTAGGCGTGTCCCTGGCCATCGCTATCTCCAATCCTTATAACTATCTCATGAATAACAATACCCGGGGAAGAATATTACACTGTGGAACCCCGAGTAATGACGACGCCATTGACCTTGTCGGACTTGAAGACAGCTAATTCGGCCACAGAAGAGGCAATGTATTAAAGAGGTATTTTTGTAACTTGTTTGTTAAGGGTCCAGAGTAATTGGCTTACGCTGTTGTGGGGTTCCCTGCCTTGCCTGAATTTCTGTATTTTCTTTTTCATATTTCATTTTGTAAGGCRAAGCTAATAAAATAAAAATAAAAACGACGTAGACACCGACTGGAATAGAAGAAGCAGAGCAAAAACAGATAGCCACAAGCCCTGCAGGCTTGAAAGTGCGCCCCACAGTAATGTAACAGTAAATGAGCGCGCTTCTTTTGGTCGTCCATATTATTCATTTGCTGATATTTTCAATTCTGATTTTAGTTTGCCTCATTTGTCCCGAGGACGAAAGTAAGAAATTTGACATTCTGTTCCCTAAGATTGGTAGCGACAGTGAACAAAAAAAGGAGTTTAGATGTCTTAGGAATAGAACTTATCTCGAAGATCTTTTAATATACGCACTTGCTTATCGAATGTATAAGCTTATTGCTTGCATTTCTTCGCACGGTATATGAAGGTATGTGATATAACGATTTGAAATAGTGCAGATATTTTTAGTGTAAGAGAAGGCTTGAGATGCGGATTGACATAACTTATTATTATTGCCGTTTCTGAAGCTGCTGCAGTCAATTGTGCAGTGTCTTGTCAGACGGCTAATATTTTAATCTTATGTTGATRACAAAGCCAAAGACTTGGGCATCAGCTCTACTAAATTGTGGATCCAGTAGTAACTAGGTCTATAATTATACAACATTCTAATAACAATTCCTCCAGTAAAGACATATTTAATTAACAGGACAAATTCTATTATCTACTATTAGAAATATACACTTAAAAATCGCTAACAAACGCGCGCGAGAAGCTTTTATAATTGCATCTCTAAGTGGAATGTGGCTTAGTATCGAATAGCTTTACCAGCGCGTAGCGTGGACTTTTTGGCTGGTACGCACATACACATATTTTGGGAGTCTAACGACAGCCAAAGGCGGGAGTATTAGGGGAGTYTGGACCTCTCCCAGAAAATTTTGAAAWAATAACTCTTGGAAATGCGATTTCTATCGTTTTTAGAGACATCGAGGGCATATAAAGGGAATCAATTTTATGTGAATTTTTCAGTATTTTTTGTAAAAATTCCTTGCCACTAGTACGCACGTGCGTACATSCGTTTACCTTTTATTCGTTTTACTTTGTTTTAACACATCTTTATTTGTTGTGGACTGACATTCAAGTTGTCTCACTAATTTCTTGAAATCTTTCGTACAAAGCAGTAATTAATCAAGCGTTTATCTAAATGCAAATGATTAGTATGCTAGAAACCTTTTAGATCTGCCAATTTAATTGAGTCATAAGAGACATGGTGTCATTTCTTTAACCGGGTGTGACATTTGCATATTTCCACATGCTTGGAAGACGCTGTTCCTTTATATGCATTAAGAACTTTACAGATGCTCGAGAAACACAACGTATTTTTTCAATGGTTACAGGGATAATATCAGGTCTGGTTTATCAGGATMCAGCAGATCACACAACAATCTGTAGACGTGGTATTCAGATACGCCGTAGACGGTCTAGGAACTCTGGCGGTCTTCTAATGGTAGTATGGTATTAAATAGGCCCGTCGCGCGACCATCGCCTGAGTTTCGAACATGCCTGAAAACTGGCTGCCGGAAATCGCAGGACTGTTTGCATGTACGATTTATCACATGACAATTGCGCTGCAAAAATCGCAAGTGTAAACGGGCTTTTAAGGGGTCAGTTAAGCAGTATTCTTCTAAGGGCTCAAAGACCCCCTTGTTCATTGAGTTTGCGAGATCTTCCTGAAGTATATTATTCTGGTCAGGTACGTTCTGTAGTAGCTTCATAAACCGCCCGAGTGTCGTTTGACTTCGTTACACTATTTCTGGAGGTCACATATATCTTATTCAAAATTTTTGATCTTGGATATGTAGGACATTGATTTGTAACGTTTACGTTGTTTATTAAGTTTCCGTAAATCTAGTATTGAATTGAGTTGAAGGCTTTCTCTGGCTAATTCAGGGAGCGTCCTTGGTTATTGTTTGTGATTTAAACGCACTTTTGTGAGAGGTATGATTGATTTGATCTCCCTGAGAAAATACTAGAGATTGTCAGTGGTATCCAGTCTTACAAACATGGAGTAAACAGAAGAGTCAGAAGAGGCTAGTCCAGGCTACTCAAGTACCGGCCGAGCTCTGCTTTCCCGCTATGAAAGACGCATGTCTAGACTATCTTCTAAACATGCTTGGATATATTATTTACTTACTATTATAGCATTTTAAAATTAAAAAWTTAAATTTTCACCTTAAAAAATAGCACAAATATATATCCAGACTATTCACAGGGAACCCAAGCAATGACTTTAAACTCTACAATAACATAAATTTTACTTCTCCAATGCCAAATGGTTTCTTTTATTTCATCTAGCCTTATTGAGCATTATTTTGATTATTTCCARTACAATGAAGTTTGTAAAGAACATGCGGGATGTGCTCATATACTTTCTAGCATTCGTAATTAAGGTAACCTAGCTGCACTTTCCTCGCGTTTTAGGAGGGTCTCAATGGAGTTAACCGTGAGCCGTGAAACGGCTGAAAAATTAGCCGTGAGTCGTGAAAATGAGAAAAAATTAGCCGTGAGCCGTGAATATTTTTTTATAGCGTGAGCCGTGATTCAGTTTTGTTCATCAGAAGGACAGTCAACTCCAAGCGTGGGCTTGTAATTTTTTTTGGTAAATTTAAAAAATAAAAGCTTGAGTGGAGATTTTTCAAAATTTTGCCTTGCCAGAATTTTTTTTTCGGCCCTTCGGGCCGTGCAGTAAATTTTTGTACACTATTTTATACAAGAAGATCCGGCAGAACAGCTACAACCACATGCTGGAAAAGGAAAACTTATGAGTAAAAAAGTAAAATTAGAGCATTCTGAACTAAGATCGATGACAGAAAATGGTTAAAATTGATTCAGTATTAGCATACGATATTACACCAAACAAAGGATAATAACACTTATCATAAACAACCCTGCAACCCAACATCTATTTCACCCAGACCTGCTCCCAGTCTGGCCTTGTAGCTCAGCTGGTAGAGTATCGGTAGTACAAATCCGTGGGTTAGGGTTAGGGTTCGAATCCCATCGAGGTCGGATATTAATTTTTCCGAATTTATTCCTAAGGGTCTTTCTTTCTTTCTTTTGTTCCTCAGGAAGGACATCAGTCAACTCCAGGCGTGCGCTTGTAATCTTTTTTTTAAAATTTAAAAAATAAAAGCTTGAGTGGAGATCTTTCAAAATTTTGGAATTTTGGCTTGCCAGAATTTTTTTTTCGTTGAGGATTTTTTCCCCAAAAATCTTCTATTGTAATTCAAAAACTCTGTGTGCAAAGAAGACAATACAAATTTRCGCTTGATTGAGGCTAGCTTGCTCGAGAAAATTTGAAACTAGAGTATTAGCGTTCTGTTTAGGTTTGGTCTTATTTGGTTGAAACCTCGCCGCCGGGGTAGCAATTTTTTAAATTTGCAAAAATAAGAGAGAGTGCAGTATAGTTTTCATGGAGGACGCTGCTAAAAGGCTCCATYGGAACCATTTCTGACTCCATACCTTATTTCACAYGCKCATTTGGCTCSTCCCATGTCTCCCCCCTAACCTCGTTAGGAACKGATGGATTCCATTACATCCCATGTCGCCCWCTACAAAGAAATATTTCAGCACCCAGAAAATTAGTTTTATATMGGCTTCCCGAATACCCCGGGAAACGTTTTTCGATAAAATAAAATAAATTAATAATAAATCTCGGATAAATTATTTTCTATTTCAGATGTTTTCCAGTACTATATTTAAAAAGCAGCAGCTATCTGATGTCTCATCTGATGATATCGAACATAGCAGTGAATTTCCAATTCCATCTGACACTGACACATTAAAACGAGCCATATTGARCGTTCTTACTCGATTGCAACCAAAGATCGTGATTCCATGCAGAGGCCCAGTCAATCTACCTGCTAAAGATGCTACAGCTGCTGATCTTCCATCTGATATCMTCATTAATGAGCTCGTTGTGCTACTAGGACGACTTGAACAACTGCCACATCATGGTGTGCTAGCTCTAGGTCTTGATGAAAATTACGACAAGCAATCCTTACTCACCAATGGAGTACAAGCTCTAAAAGGAATGGATAAGCGTATATATTCAATTATTGAGATCGCTAATGCTTATCTGCACGAGAGCAAGAAGTTGGAGTTCTTCATTGTAGAGAGCAACAATTTGAACATAACGTATGGGCCAACGTGTTCCATGGAGATTAATGCTGGATTTTCGGGAAGTCATGAGTATAGTGATTTTGATGCATCATGCTATGAAGATATTGTTGTTGGTGTTGACGGAAAGTTAATGAATGTGTCGTTCGAGTTTCAAGTTGATAAAAGGAGTATTTTAAATGTTGGTAGGAATGGCAGTTATTATGTTCTTGTTGTTTTACCTAAAGCAAATGTTGTCAAGGTTGTGTTCAAGAATTCTGTCCGTTCAGCTGTTGGTTACTTAGAAAGGCTGCAGCTACAACTCCGAACTAAAGGACTGCTATCTGTGAAAAGAGTGGCAAATGACGTTGTTGATGTTTGTGTAAATAACAAGGASAGTTTTTGTAAAAATGAAAAGTGTGTAATAACACTGCTCAAAATTATTATGTCGATCCAGGAATTGGATTTGGTAAAGACACTACTGTTACTGTTGTCTGAAGAATTCAGTTACAGCCCAATACAAGCAAAACAAATATTTGGATTTCATTCGAAAGAAATAGTTTATCTATTGCATGATTTAATTTCAACATTTGGATKGCATGCATTAGAAGACGAATTAAGACAATTGATCAAATCATGCCCACCTCAGCAGTACCAACTTGCAACTGAATTCCTTGAGCACTGCCGAGAAGATGTCCCAGTAGTACATACGCTCTTATGTCTCATAGTCAAAAACGCTCTGAATTCAAAAGAAAGGAAAGCTAATCTTTCTGATGATAATTTACTGGGAATTGCCCGTGTGATCTTCAACCATCCCGAATCATTACATCAATTTGTGAAATCATTCCTGGACTTGCCAGAACTGCAGAACGTTCAAATGTTAACTAAGATCCTGTTGATATGCGGAAATAATGCAAGAAGTGAAAACATGAAAAAGAGCCCATTCTATCAAATGACTTTTGAACGATTCAATAAAAATATGCACAGAATGTTTAAAGGTGGGCACAAACTATCAGCTGAAAACATTGATGCCATAGTAAAGGGTGCCGAATATCTTGTTTGTAACAAAGAAAATGCTTTAATGAAGAAGCTTATAGATATTGTTCTCGTTAAGCCTAACTCAAATCTGTGGAGGAAATTACTAGAAAGTCGTATTGTTTATCAGTCAGCCAGTGTTCTTGAACCAATCAGGTGCCTCATCCAAGCTCGTATAAATCAACTAATTCTAGATGTCCGTTCTGGTGAACCAAAATTCAGTTGGTGTCAGCAAAATGCAGTCATACCCGACCATCCAGAAGTTCAAGCATTTCTACAAGGCCCCGAAAGAACATTTATATACAGGAAGTTCAACGCTAGAACGCGGGCAGAAAGATTCAAGAATAAGTATTTCTTGKGGAGTGGAAGTGTTTCAGTCGAGGTAATAGGAACTCGTAGCGATACTCTAGTTAAGATTTCCAAATCACAAGCCCAGAAAATCAAGTATGACAGAGCTTTTCAGAAATACGTTGAAAAYTGTGAAGAGCTAAAAAGGCTACAGCACGCTTATTGATTTGAACTGTTCTACAAAGTCAGTAAAGTCTCAGTACCAATTCACAGCTCCTTTTATGATGAAAATGACTACAGACACTACACGTATCGCTGCTGAAATAAAGAATTAAAAAAAAACAGATCAAACCAACCCATGCCATGCTTCCACTGTTCCAACACTGAGTTTTAACTTCAACATATAAGTTCTCATTTCGCTAGATTGCTATCCATAAGGGACGTATTGTTAAGGTCGGACAATTTGTTGCTCCATACATATATGTAATAATCATTTATTGAGTTTTTATCGTTACGAAAATATTCACACTTTTGTGATTATCGAGTGCTGATAGGCTGATCGCTGTGATCGTGAGACTACTTGACTTTTAATTAAAGGTATTTTACATGACATCAAGAGTYTTTCAATAAGACGACATATAAAACAAGATTTGTTACACGACCAGTGTTGCAAACTCACAGTTTGTCCCCTATTAAGCGTTGGGCTGAGGCTCAAAAAACAACTGAATTGCATTGGTTAAGGCAACATTAATCCGGGTAGTTAGTAAAATGCTGTTGGAATTTCAAGGTACTCGGCATTTCACAGCCCATGCGCTCTTTAATATGCAGAATCAATCCAACCTCGTAGTCAGAGCCATCCAGCAGAAGTCAATTCGTGAGATTCTCTGCAATCTCGAGCCCAGAGTCTTCACGGCTAATGCCGCAAATTATGCAAATTAGGTCAATTTTGTTTTCTGTTTTAGAGCGATAGAGCATAATATGACAAAAAAGCACAGGTAGCCCAAGCTAAGCATTTTTAACGTTTTAGTAATTTTATGTCTCAAACTATTTTTAGTGCTTTTCTTTGTGTTCCTGTGGAGTTTCAGGCCATTTGCTTGAATTTTGAGCCATGTCGCTCTTGCTATCATTCGCTCTAAARCAAGGAACAATCTTCGGTAAAAATRCATAGCTTGGGCTATCTGTGAAAAAAAGGAAAAGTTTAGCGCACAACTTAGTTTAGGAACGGTATTGGCAATGATCATGTTATATTTTCTSTATTTGCCATTATTGACTATACTAGATAGCTCGACTTAACGCTCTTAGAGCGTCTGTAATGCAGAGATGGGCTGCCTGTGACACGCKTTCTTTCCAACGAAACGTGACTTGTTGGTAGTCCTTTGGCAGTGACATACTAWARCCAACTCTGGTAAAACCGAGTCGTGTGTGGATTGARARATGTTTCAAGTACCMTCGGGATCAGCCCAGTCTTCTAGCAAGACTCCTAGTATAGAAGAAGAAAGGAAAGCAGCTAAAAAAGCCGTGTGGAGCACTTTTAAAGTTTTCATTGCATAYGTCGCTGTTATTAGAACCGGTTAGTATCGTTGCTTAACAAACTAAAACGTTAGGTTTTATAACTTTAGGCAGTAATGCGAGCAACAAAATCACGCAACTGAAAGATCATTGCTTCAGCGTTGAAAAAATCAGGTAACACCTAAAAACGAAGATCAGAAGACAGTGAGACTAGGCGCTGTAAGGGAGCTATATCTGTAAACTTTGGGGGAAAGGGGGATGGTGGGTTGGTAAAGGAAAGCAAAGAAAAACGTGGCCCTCCCTTGAATAGGATAGAAAAAACTCTCACCAATACTACTATTATTATTATTATTATTATTATTATTATTATCTGTATTGTTTTCTTTTCAAAGTTTTATAAAATATAGGTCCGTGTTCATCCCTTGAACATTAGGAGTCCATACATAATTGTGATTGGTATTACTTGATGGATAGTGTCCTCCTTAGTATATGTGCTGTACCAAGGAGCACAATCTTCTGTAGCTCTACTATTTTTATATTTCCAGGAATTTTGTTTATATATTTATCTATCCCTTTTTTAATAAGTCCTAAAGCACCAATTATCACAGGTATTGTACTTGTTTTCAAGCCCCACATTCTTTCGACTTCGATTTCAAGGTCTTTATATTTTGAGAGTTTTTCGGTTGTTTTTATTGAGATGTTTTTGTCTGTGGGAACGGACATGTCTATTAGCAAACATGTTTTATTTTCTTTGTCTTTCACAACAATATCTGGACGGTTGGCTGTTATTTCTCTGTCAGTATGTATCCCCATGTCCCATAGTATTGTAACTTGATCGTTTTCAGTCACAGTTGTTGGTTCGTGTTTATAGTATCGCTCATTAACATTTATATTGAAGTGTTTACATACTTTCCAATGAATATATTTGGCTGCTTTGTTATGTCGATGGATATATTCTGTCTTAGCAAGCTCTGGGCACCCCGATACAATGTGGTCTATCGTTTCAAGTTGTTGATTACAAATTCTACATAGAGGACAAGTACCATCTCTTAGGATTTTGTTTTTATAATAGTTTGTTGCAATGCACTGATCTTGAGCAGCAATTATAAATTATTATTATTATTATTATTATTATTATTATTATTATGAATTCTTGGGTGCTGATTGGCTGGTTAGATTGTGTGAATTCCATTTAGCCAACAAGCTATTAAAGTTGAAAGAGTTGATTAATTGTCACTAATTTCTGACTATAAATATTGTAGAAACAAACTCAAATACACATGGATATGCTTGATTGGCCAAAAGCTTCAAAACATATGATTGATTCTGCATGTGCATGTAGAACCTGAGTTTGGACATAAGGGACTGCCCATTTATTAGAGGAGGAGGGCTGGTGCATTTATATTTCTCCTTGACATATTTTATTGTACAAAGTTATATGACCTATTAAAATTGAGAACATAAATTCACATGACCCATCTAAAACTCATCATCCAGATATCGATTTGAGGTCAATTGTGTCTAGGTACATACTGACAAGACAGAATGAAGTTTCATTCAGCATAATCATCACCCACCCTCAAACTTTATATAATTCATTGCAATCTCTTACCTAACACTTCAGAGCAAATAGCAAAGACCAAAAAACACACATCCTTGGGAGCAAAGTAAATACGGCTGGATACCCAGATTGACTACTGAAAGAGCAAGGTTCATGAATAGTTTGCCACCGAAATTCTATGGTTCTTGCTATCACAAATCAAAAAATAATCGTGAGTTTGTAAAGCTCTTCCATTGCGAAGGGAGAYGACAATATGAATGCTGTCAACATATTTGAAGTGCTCAATTCAAAAGTTGACGGAATATTTTTAAATCATAAAAATCCAGGTGCTGCTGGAAAATTTTCTAATGAGAATTATGTGTTGATCCCATCTGATCAAATTAGTAAGATCAAATATTGAAAAACTATTAAAAGTGCAAAACCAAGTAGAAGAAGAAGATAAATACATTAAAGAACATCTTAGCACATTGTATACCAAGACTGGGAAGCAAGACCAAGAAGGCATTCGACACGATTAACCGGGCCATGATGTTTAAGATCTTAAAGGCCTACGGAATCCTGCCAAGACTACTGAGTGCAATAAAAGCAATGTACTCTGGAACGCGTGCCAAGGTTGTAACAGAGGACGGCGACTCCGACGAGTTTGAAATATCGGCTGGTGTTCTGCAAGGCGACACTTTAGCACCTTTTTTGTTTGTTATCGTGCTCGACTACGCTCTCCGTCAAGCCATCAATGGACGAGAAACAGAACTGG